ATACCTGAGCTTCCAGGAGATGGTTAGGAAAGAAAGAAAGCTAGGAACAATCAGTATCAGCCACATAACAGGAGCTACTGGAGTCCCCAGCAGCCTGGTATGCAGAGGACACTAGCCAACAGCTATTACTGCTGGAAAACTAAACAAGAGATCTGAAGGTCTCAGGGAATGGAGTCCAAGGCCCTCAGTTCATACACTTCCTTTCTTGCCGTCCAATGTCTGGAGGACTGAGGCATTGACATCTAGTTAAAGCATCACCTTCTGTTTGTCACTGGGGTTTGCACTGGCCTGAGTAGGCTTACACTCATTCTTGTGGCATGCAGGAAAAGTGAGAAAGACTGAGCCAAGCTGTACAACCACATTTTAAAGTTGTTTATTCTTGAGGCACATTTTAAGATCACTCAAATACCGATGGCCAGAGCAAGGATAATATTAGTAGTGTGAGGAAATATCCTTCTCCTAATAGAAGAACAAGAGAACAAACATCTGAACAATAATACAGTCTATCACAACTACATATTATAACCACTTATCTTCAGGAGGTTCAGCTTTAAAATGGAAAAATGTTACTGCTCTTTCTACAGTCCGTACTTCAAAGATGCTACTCAGCTGATCTACCCACTTATTCAGTAAATATTACTAAGTTTTTTGGAAACAGAAGATATACTTGTGAAAAGTCAGACACATAATATAAATGGGTAACAAATAATTGTCTGTCCCTTTATAAGTATTCAATACAGAAATTAGCCACAAGTATAGGTCAAAAAGGATGTAAAAATTGATTTAATGGAAAGCTTAAGTCTCTCAATAAGTGGAGATAATAACTTTGTAGAGATAATAACTTTGAAAGATAAGCCAAAAAAAGTGGCAGAGGCTGGAGATCATTTATCAGAAACAATGAGGATAATTTCAGTATTAGATAAGATGTTACTTTTGAGTCACCAAATTTGTGGTTTAATTCCTCGTTTTTATTCTAGATAAAGTCATCACAAAAATCCCAGTTGCCAGGGCCAATCTATTTCCTTTCACATATATAATGATATCACTTTGGAAAGTTATTTGTCTTCCTTAATCATATGATGAGTCTGTGAAAATAGAATGACAAACCCTCACCTATCTGAACAAATTGTCAGATGTGACTGGTACATCTGTGAGGAATGAGAGCTCACCCTTCTGTCATAGAAAATTGCCAAAGAAGAAACTCTGCATTATCCTGAAATTTTTTTTCCTCTGCAACTCAATCAATCATCCACTCAGTCCTGAGCTGGTGGGTAAGAAATGAACTTTCCATCTACACATCCTTTCTCTGGAATAGACTGAGCACATGATCACGAATCTGCTTAGTCTTGACGCCATAGATAATGGGATTAATCTTGGGTGGGAACAAAAGATAAAAGACAGCAAGGAGTATGTGGACATGAGGGGCAGCCTGGCGAGCCACACGATGCATGACAGATGAGATAACCACAGGTGTATAAGTTGACAGGATAGCACCTATGTGAGACACACATGTCCCAAATGCTTTGTAGCGGGCTTCCTGAGAGGCAAGCTGGAGAACTGCCCGAAGGATGAAAATATAAGACAAAATGATGAACAGCAGATCCAACACCACAATAAACATGGCTACAACAATGCCATAGATATTATTGAAGCGGGTGTCCCCACATGCCAGCCTTACCACAGCCATGTGTTCACAGTAGGAGTGAGCAATCACTCGGCCCCGGCAGTAGGGGAAGCGTTGGAGCAGAAAGGGGAGTGGAGTCATTAGTGTCACAGCCCGTACCACAGTGGCCATGCCAATCTTGGTGATAAGGGGCCCAGTCAGGATTGTGGTGTAGTGTAGTGGCTTACAGATGGCCACGTAGCGGTCAAAGGCCATGGCCAGGAGCACTGCTGACTCCATGATAGAGAAGGAATGAAGAAAGAACATCTGGACCAGACAGCCATAGAAGTTAATCTCTTGGTCTCTGAACCAAAAAATAGCAAGCATTTTGGGCAGTGTTGTAGAAGACAGGACCAGGTCAATAGATGCCAACATGGCCAGAAAGAGGTACATGGGTTCATGGAGGGCTGCATCAGCCTGGATAATGAAGAGAAGGGTACAGTTTCCCAGCAGGGCCAGAGTATAGGCAAAGCAGAAGGGAATGGACATCCAGATGTGCAAGTGCTCCAAACCAGGGATTCCTGTCAACAAGAAGGCCCCTGGATGTGTTGAGGTAATATTAGAGGCTGACATGACTCCTAGAACCTCTCCTTGTTAATGTTTACAGCAGTCTTTCACTTTCTATAATATACATAATAGATTTCAACCTCTAATATCTCACCATGGGGTATTAGATTTTATTCCCATTGCTATACCTTAAACAAAATAAGCCAGTAGTCCTGAGACACATGGAGAAGTATAATCCATGTGTCCTGAATTTCTTTGAGTATGTGGAATATTAAATATCCATACAACTGATGTCATAAGGCAACATTCATAAAGAAATGAAGAATAAGATATATGCTCCATGTTCTAGATATCTGGAAACCTTGAAGGTAAAGAAGAAAATCAATATGTTTAAATAAATTCTTTACCACATACCATTCTACCTTCTAGTCAAGCTAAACTCCCAAACAGAAAAGCCAATTTTCTGTCCTAAAATCTCAGACTTAAGAACATGCATAAATCAAGTAAACTCTGTAACTTTTAACACAATAATTAATCACACAATGTATATTGTCTCTAGGATTACATTATCTGATATTGTTACCAATAGCCATGTGTGACTATTTAAATATATATTTAGTAAAATAAAAATTTAATTCCTCAGTCATGCAAAAACAATTTTCAGGTGTTTAATAGCTATATATGACTATGGCCACCATATTGGACCATTCAGATAAGATTATTTTCATCATCAAAGAACATTCTATTGGAAAGACCTGCTCTGGAATGCATCTTCCATATCCTCCCAACACTCACAAATCTCTGTAAATACAGCTCTAACTCCAGCTTATTTAAAAGACTTTTTTGAGGTTCTCTATAAAAATTCTTAACTACCTATTTATATTTATACCAAAACATTTAATAATATCTATATTCTGACTCTCATTAGAATTTGAAACATTCTTATCATCATTCCATTCCCATTACTTCCCTTCAGTTGCTTTCACTGGGAAGACAAATGATTTCCATGATGAAGTGCCATGGTCCTTTACCTACCTTTAAAAACTCTACCTCTCAGCAACTTTCATCTAAATTGAGGATTCTATCCTTTAAACCTACTCTTCTCTTGAAGAATCCTATTTCCATATCCCTAGCTTATTATGTCAGTATCCTGCTTCTATCCTATCTCTAAAAGTTGAATTTCTTCAGGTCTCAAGCTTGGATTCTGTTCAGTTTTTATAGTCACACAAAACTCAGTGAATACATTTGGTAAGGTTAGTGGAAAATATGTATTTCAACTTAGTGGGTTAAGGAAAAATCTATGAACAAAACTGATCTTAGAAATTTTTCTCTAGAGGCTTTAGCATAATAAAAACATAATTAAATTACATAGTATGTATGATAGATGATGTTAACTGTTACTTTTAAAAGGAAATGGAGAAATGAAAGTGGATCGTAGAATAGGTAGAAAGGGGAGAGAGTAATATTAAATTGTAGGTCTAAAATGTAGGCTTTGCTGAAAAATGAAACTGAGCAAAAAATAAGAAACTAAACCTTAGTTTCATTTCCTCAAAAGGTAGAACCTATGATTTCATGAGGATTCCATGCATATTGTTAATATGAGACAATCGTGCCAGTGAATAAGAATAGGATAAAAGAGTAAAACAGGAAATCAAGGAAGATGAATCCAAAGGTGCGCTTCTGAGCTAGATAATGCTCTCATGTCCAATACCACATGAAGAACCATGTAGAAAGAACCTCATAGTTGTCCCCTCCACCTTATTTTGTCTTCCACTAACTGCTCTCCAATCCTCACTCAAGGAGTGACCCAAAGTGTTGATTTCATCATACTTCAAAGTCCATATTTGCACCAAAATAGTTGAGCTGTCCTCCAAGGAGCAGGATGTAGCTGAGTAAGGCAACACTGGTACTTCAGCAGTTGCCACAGCAATGGCTGAAACAAAAAAGATGCGATGAGAGGATGTCAGAGCGGCATGAAAGATGGAGGACAAGGCAAGTTACACCTGGGCAACGAACACTCTCCAAAGGAACAGCCAGACCTAGTGCCCTAGGATATAAATATGTCTAATGTTCAAATATCAGCTGGGAGGCCCATGCAGCTAGAATGAGTAGGAGAACAACAGAGATCAGAAAGGACCAGGGCAGGCGACAAAACACTTTGTAGGCCTTTGTAGAACTGCAAAACACATTTCTCTTAGACTTTGGTCTTGGCAGAAAAGAGACATATTTGACTTAAGTTTGCTCTGACATCTGCCATAAGAGCCTAAACAGTTAAGGGTAAGAGCCTCTCCACTATTTCTCCTGCTATTTCAGTAATCCGGGCATGGAAAATACTTGGCTGAGTACATGGTGAGAAATAATTGGATTTTGGATATACAAGGTATGATATGATTGTTACGATTACTTATTAGTATGTTTGTGGTGCATATTAAATACATTCATTATGGAAAATTGGTATATGTACACACTGCATCTTGGTCCTTTTTACTTCCACTGCCCCCTCCTCCTTCTATCTCCCCTCATCTCCAGGTCCTCTTTCCATTTCCACAAAGTTTATCTCTCTATTTCTTATATCTTATTTTGCTCTTTAAATTATTTTTATAATTGATTACAGAAGACACAGTGCCACTAATCTCCCTCAAAATACTCCCCTTTTCTTCAAACACACTTATCCTATTGTCCTTGCCACTTTCTCAAGCAGTTCTGGCAGTCCTTTTTCTTGGATGTTTTTTGTTGTGCTCTTGTGGTTGCCTAGAGGTCCTGAATGAATTCAAAACCTTCACCTTTCATGGTCATTTTGACTTTGGGGAAGAGTCAGCAGTCACAAGATGCCAGATTCAATAAATAAAGCATATGAGGACACACCTCCATTGGATAGTACTCAGCAGCACCATTCACCATACATTTGATCACACCTCATAAAGACATTCATGAATGAGGACTTCTAGAGCTACTTCAGAGAGTGACAATAATGATGGGATAAGTGTTTAAAGTTAGAAGTATTTTGACAGTGATTGATGGCAGTGTGTCTTTTACTGTAAATGTTTCATCTAAACATTCACTGCATATTTTGATCACATCTCATATATGAAAAATGCAATGGGTTTTTTTTTACAAATTAAATATAGGTTGTGACTGAAAAGGGAATCTAAGCTATCAGGATTTTTACCATAAGCAACCAGAAGGAAGGAATTGCTCTTGACTGAAATGAGAAAGTTTTTGATGGGGAAATCAAGATTATCAACTTTAGACAGATTGAGATCTCTGTTGGAAATCTAAGTGAAGATGTGATATTTGGATATGAGTCTTGAGTTTGAGGGTGATATTTTGGTTGTTAATATAAACTTAAAATCATTGGGAAACAGATAGTATTTAAAGCCATGAAGGTGATTGAGATTAAAGAGATAGTTTTCATGAAGAAAAGAACACAGAAATGAACCACAGAATTTAGAATTGGGACAATTGGGAATTGAGGCACATTGATAAGTCAACAATTTAGAGGTCAACTCGTAAAATAGAAAATATCTGGGATAATGTGCTGTAGTGGGAAATTACTGAACATAGTATATTAGGAGGAGGAAATTATTACTAGATAATAATGCTACTCATGAATCACCTAATTTGAAAAAAGTTGGCCTTGTGTTTAGACATGCAGATTGTAACGAGGCAATTTTGGTAGAGTAGCAGGAGGCAGTCTGATTTACCTGAATTATGGTAGAAAAAAAAAGAGAAGTTAACAGAGGTCATAACTTTGAGGAATCTTGCTACAAAGGACAGCAAGTAATCAGGGCACTGACTGCAGCAGGAAATGGAATCAAGAAGTGTTTTTGTTCACTTGTTTTTAAAAAGGGTAATTTAGGGCCCGGGATTTAGCTCAGTGGTTTCTCTGCCTGCTACACAAGTGCAAGGACCCGAGTTCGATCCCCGGTACCAAAAAAAATTTTTTTTAATTAAAAAATAAAAAGGGGAATTTAGCCCAGGATTTAGCTCAGTGGTTCCAGCATCTGCCTCACAAGCACAAGGTCCCAAGATTACTTACCAAAAAACAAAAAGATAAATAAATAAATAAATATAAAAAGGGGAATTTATAGCATGTTTCAGAGTTAGAGGGAATGAAGAAAAATCAGGGAATATTGTTTCAAAAATATCCTGGAGCATTGCCATCTTCTCTGTTTATTTACCATGAATTTTGTTACCATATCTTGAACCCTCAAATATAAATGTACACATTTTACCTTCCTCTAAGGTCCAAGCTAGTATATTCAACTGTCTCTACCTATCAGTCTCACATATACCTCAAACCTATCACACTGATGCAAAAATCTTGACTTCTTCCTTTGAGTGTCTCTCTTATTTCAGAAGATAAAATCTTGTCCAACCAGCTGCTCAACCTAGGATCAAGTCATTTTTGGTCTTTCTCTTCTTGTGCCATAGTCAATTCATCAACAATTACTAGGGGAGAATCCTCTAAGTTTTGATTTTTAAAAAACTTATTTTTACTCTTTTTAAAATTGGTCATATAGATCAATGGGTCTCATTTTAGCAGATTCATACATGCACATAACATAATTTGATCAGAAAATGCCTATTTTAATCAGTATTGTTCAAGCCACCATCACCTCTCAACTGTTGTTACTTTCTGAACATCCTTCAACCTGCCTACCAAGCCTTATGAAAAGAAAATGGAATCTCACCTAATTTCTTCTCCCAAACTCAGGATGTCTAACAATTCACGAATTTTATTTCTTTTGAATCTTATCTGAAATCTTCCCCAACCAGAATGAAAGTCTCAGTAGAAGAGGGAATGGAGCCATTTTTCTTCACATAATATCCAGAACACAATTCTTTGTGGATGGTTTGTCCAGAATATACTGTTTCAGGAGCTAAGTTATCCTCAGTGTGCCATAGATTCTGTCTCCTATATCATTGTCTCTCCCAAAAGTGCTTAAAGAGGGCCTGTAAAACTGAAAATAAAACTAATTGGTACCCTGGTCTACCAACAGAATATGAGAAAAATGGATTCAAAAGATGAAAACTCTTTGATAGGAACATACTCACCTAAAACC